CGTCGACTTTGTCCTTACAAGGAGGGATAAACAAGCATGCGTGGACTATAAGGTGATACCTGGAGAATGTGTGGTCTCTCAACGCAAGCTGGTGGTGGCTGACTTTTGCTTTATGGCGCAAGCTCATAGGAACAAACAAGCTAGGGTTGCTAGAACGAAGTGGTAGAAATTGGAAGGGGAGGCATCAAATGTCTTTAAGGAAAGGGTTATTGAAGAAGGCCCTTGGAAGGATGAAGGTGATGCAAACAACATGTGGGAGAAGATGGCAACATGAGTTCAGAAGGTTGCTTCAGAGGTGCTTGGAGTGATCAAAGAGAGCAGATGCGACTCGAAAGACACTTGGTGGTGGAATGAAGATATGCAAAAGGCTATTAAGGAAAAGGAGTGTTATAAGCGCTTGTACCATGACAGGTGTGCAGACAACATAGAGAAGTACAAGGTGGCAAAGAATACTACAAAATAAGCGATGAGTGCGGCAAAGGGGCGGGCCTATGAGGACCTTTACCAATGTTTGAGTACGAAGGAAGGAGAGAAGGACACATTTATAGGAGACACATTTATAGGATGGCTAGGGCTTGTGATAGGAAGACAAGGGACTTCAACCAAGTTAAGTGCATAAAGGATGAGAGGGAGCAGCTCTTGGTGAAGGAGGATGAGATCAGACATAGATGGCAAGAGTATTTTGATAAATTATTCAATGGTGAGAACGAGAACACCACCGTTCAACTGGATGACTCGTTTGATGACACTAATAGGCGCTTTGTGTGGAGGATTCAAGAATCGGAGGTCAGAGATGCCTTGAAAAGGATGAAAGAGGGCAAAGCGATGGGCCCTGATGGTATCCCAATCAAGGTGTGGAGATGTCTCGAGGATATAGCTATAGTATGTCTAACCAAGATGTTCAACAATATCTTTTGATCGAACAAGATGCCTGAGGAGTGGAGAAGAAGTATATTGGTACCAATCTACAAGAATAAGGGAGACATCCAAAGTTGTACTAATTATCTAGAAATTAAGTTGATGAGCCACACTATAAAGATATGGGAGAGAGTCATCGAGCAGCGCCTACGAGGAAAACCAATTTGGTTTCATGCCGGAAGGTCAACCACAAAAGCAATCTTCTTAATAAGACAAGTTATGGAGCAGTTCAGAGAGCAGAAGGACCTACACATGGTTTTCATTGACTTGGAGAAGGCTTATGACAAGATACCAAGAAATGGTATGTGATAGACTTTGGACAAACATAAAGTCACATCAAAGTACGTGACCCTCATCACGGACATGTACAACAATGCTGTGACTAGTGTTCGAACAAATGATGGTAACACATATTACTTCCCGATTAAAATAGGACTTCATCAAGGGTCAGCCTTAAGCTCATATCTCTTTGCCTTGGTAATGGATGAGGTTACTAGGAACATACATGGGGATATCCCTTAGTGTATGTTGTTTGCTGATGATGTAGTGTTAGTGGACGAAAGACGGGCGGAAGTAAATAGGAAACTAGAGTTGGCGTGGCAGACCCTTGAGTCTAAAGATTTTAGATTAAGCAGAACTAAAACCGAATACATGAGATGTGACTTTGGTGGAGCTACACAGGAGGAGGGAGAGTGAGTTTGGAAGGTCAAGTAGTGGCTAAGAAGGATACCTTTCGTTATCTGGAATCAATGCTACAGAGGGATAGAGATATTGATGCGGACGTTAGCCATAGAATCTAAGCAGGGTGGATCAAGTGGCAATAAGCTTCTGACATTCTCCATGATAAGAGGGCACAAAAGCTAAAAGGCAAGTTTTATAGAACGACAATTAGACCAACTATGTTGTATGGAGCAGAATTGGTCTACAAAGATTCGACAAGCAACAGCTAAGTGTTGCAGAAATGCGTATGTTGTGATGGATTTATAGTCACACAAGAATGGACCGAGTTCAGAACGATGATATACGTGGTCGCCTAGGGGTAGCACCAATTGAAGAAAAGCTTGTCCAACATCGGTTGAGGTGGTTTGGCCATGTCCAAAGGAGACCTTCAGAGGCACCAGTGCATTGTGGAGTTCTAAGAGCAACTCAAAGAGACTCTCTATATCTTTCTAAATGCTAGGAATAGAGAGTTTGGTGAAAAATTATCCTCCAACAGCTTGTCTAAATGGTTATACAAATATAGCCATATTCTATTCTGGATTTTTCGCTAGCAAAAAATAGAATATGGGAATGGCTCTCTAGAGTGTGCACGAGATATAGAAAAACTATTGAAAAGTGCAAAGATATAGAAAGCGATTTTTATGGAAATGACTCTCCAAATGATGATTTAGAGAGTGAGATTTAGAAAGAGTCTTGGAGATGTTCTAAGCCAAGCTAATAATGTGAGAAGAGGTAGAGAAAGACTGAAATTAACATGGGATGACAATAAAAAAGGATTTGAAAGCTTAGGATATACCTAGAGATCTATGTTTCAATAAGAGTGCTTAGAAAACAGCTATTGAAGTGTATGAATTGTGACCGTCTAAGTTGGTCGTTTCTGTTTCCCTTGTCCACGGACTTTCTTAAGCTTAGACTTGTTTCAGCACGTTTATTATTAACCTAGTTTTATTCAATCAAAATCAAATAAATTATAACACCGATTAAATACTACCTCCCTATACACAGCCTTACATGCTTCCTCTCTGCACTCCATCTGCTATGCTGACTCAAGCAACAGCGCCACCGGTGCTCTCGGCACTAGACCCGCTACAAGATATATCTTGATATTAAAAAAACTGGACCAGTGGGGGAAGAACCGCCCCCACGGCTTTCAAGTAGAAAGAGGGATCGACGATCCCGGCCTAGAAAACTCCCCGAACCCTGGCTCATGCCCGAGGGCGATCTTTGAGTCTGCGGATCAATCACAGGCCGGCACGGGTATACCGTAGCCTGGATGTAACCGCACCAGCGAGGGGGATTTTTTTGGGTGGGTACCAGAAATTCTGCCCCCACCGGTGCTCAAACTCCGATCAGCCTGGCTGGGACTTAAGCCACACCTCCTCTCCCGATATATCTTGATATTCACATCTTTATTCATAATGATAAGTATGTTCAACATGTTTGCTATTGCAAGTCTTGATGACCCATATGTTCAGGATGTTTGCTATTACAATTAGATCACATATGTGCACGCTTATCACAATAAATTTTATATATTTCTTTTTAAAGTATGATAAAAACTTTGCTGCAGTTTTATTAGAAGGAGAAAATTAAAAATATGTGTAGGTCCAATTTTTCCGGTGGAAATCGGGGCAAAAAAAACAACTAGAGCGAGTACGCAGCACCCTCAACTTGATGCGGCCAGATCAACTAACCACTCAAACTTCGCTACTTGCTCAAAAAAATGAGCCAACCCTACGCCATGTTAGTTTGGTAAATAAGCGATCGTAAATTTCTAGCCGAAACAGTATTTTCTCTCACACCAAACCAGTCGGTAGTAATAATCCACGATCGTATCATAACGATCGTTTCAAATTTCAAATGAACAGGCTGCTGGTTAACACAACCCAATTAACAACTCAACTAAAACTAATAACTCGACAGAAGCAGGATTTCAAGGATATCCATTGGAGCTTATCTTCTAGCTCTAACCTCGAACAAACGAAAGACCACGACTGAAGCCCTTAGCTCCATAGCTCTTTATAAACATTTCTAGAGTAAAATATGCTTATATTTATCTAAATATATTTAGCTGTGTAACATCTTCGGATGGCAGAAGCTGAAACTTCGTTCCATTATCTAAAAATAATTATCTAAATATCTAGCATTACATTGCTAAGTGAATCCATGGTAGCTATGCAGCTGTAGTGTGGTGATAAGCGTTCATCTCCTACCTATAGCTCGGATAGAAAAGCAAGAGTGCAGGAATATCTGAATCTTTCGCCACTTTAGCTTATCAAGCAAATATCTCAACGATGTAACCTATTCAATTCTTTATTGCGTGCGCACTACATGGATAGGATGGCGAGCGTCCGCTGTTTGCACCAAGAGATAATTCCAGAAGAGATAACGCTAACAAATCAGGATACCAAACTTCACTCACTCAAGCCCTTTTTGTACAGTGATGAGCCAGTGGCGCCCACGACATGCTCAGCATGCTATTGGTCAAAAACCAATTAGGTGGTGTTTAAATTCAGAAAATAAAGTATAGAAATGTTATATTATGTGTCACATCGAGATGTTATATAGGAGTGTTCGGATAGTAATAATAAAACAAATTACAGAAGTTCTCAGTAATCCGCGAGACGAATTTATTAAGCCTAATTAATCCATCATTAGTATATGTTTATTGTAGCACCACGTTGTCAAAACATAGGCTAATTAGGCTTAAAAATTTCGTCTCGTAAATTAGTCGCAATCTGTGCAAATAATTATTTTTTTAATCTATATTTAATACCCCATACATATATCTAAACATCTAATGTAATAAGGAATAAACTTTAGTGAAGACACTGAACAAGGCCTCAGTCCTTCAGACTTCGATGCGTGCTCGCCTCTGGCTCGTCGCTGGTCTAAGGATGCTTCCAAGGTGCTCGACTCATGTGTTCTGGGCATAGATTCCCCTGATTACTACCTATTGTTCGAAAACAAAGATTCCCTTGATCTTGTTCACACTGGGGATAGACGTAAGGGATAGTAGTAATCCCATGACTATTTGACTAGTGCTAGTCAATTTATTCCCAACATTTTTTTTCTTCAAAAAAAGAAGAAGATACGTACACACCATGACTCCGATCATTTTGCATTGAGGAGTCCATGGTACCGAGCTTATGTGGAGCAGCATTCCCATATACTGAACTGAAGCAGTACTGCAGTAGCACGCATCGCCTATAAATAATACTTCGAGCCCCCGCATCCCTTCGGCAAGCAAGCACTTGGCCTCTCAAGTCTCAACACAGCCACAGCGCGCGCGCGCACACGCACACAAGGGCAGGGGATAGGAGTTTGCATTGTCAACAAGGCACAGAAAGAAGACAGGAGGGATGGAGTACTGCTACCAGTACAACAGCGTGAGCAACGTGGAGAAGGAGAAGAGGCCGCCGCTGAGGAGGGGCAGCGTCAAGCTCCAGATCGTCAAGACCCTCAGCAACCTCGTGGCGCCGAGCAACAACAAACGACTCCAAGCAAGTGGGTCGCAACAGCTTCACAAGGGAACGAAGCTACAACTGAAATAAACTGTCTCTTTAGATAGATGTCGCCCTTGTATCTGAATCTGAACTTTGCTTTGAGAAGTTTTCTTAGCTTGGACTTGCTTGTTTGTTTGGTCCACTGGTGAATGAAATATATGGAACTGTATGATAAGTTGGTTCCATGTGTTTTGTTTTGGAAAGAAGGTTCTATGGCTCATGCATGGTACAGAGTATCAACTCTGCTCATGCATGCAGATTAGTACCAACTATCAACGCATCCTTCATCAGTCCATCTTTCAACTCTGTTCGTCTGAAGGAAGGGATACCAATTCTGTTTAATACCTAGCTTGTTTAGTTATTTTGCAGTCAAGCACTTAATTAAGCAGTCAAGAAAACCCTTCAGGCTTTCAGCTGACAAGTGCACTTTGAGCTTGAGGCATCTCTCTCTGAGACTGACCAATGAAATTCAGGTGGTGTTTAGATCCAGGGTGTAAAGTTTTGGGGTGTCACATCGGATGTTGCATGGGGTGTTCGGATACTAATAAAAAAAAATTACAGAATCCATCAGTAAACCGCGAAACGAATTTATTAAGCCTAATTAATCTGGCATTAGCATATTTGTTACTGTAGCACTTTATTGTCAAATCATGGCCTAATTAGGCTTAAAAGATTCGTCTCGCAAAGTAGTCGTAATCTGTGTAATTAATTATTTTTTTAGTCTATATTTAATACTCTATATATATGTCCAAACATTCGATGTGATACGACGTAAAGTTTTAGCCGAGGAACTAAACCAGGGCTCAAGCTCATGGCCATCATCCACACCGGCCTGCCGCCTGCCAGACCACACCATCCCTGCAGCGCTCAATGAGATCTATGGCTTGTGTAATAGCCTAATGCATCTTTCGATCATGCATGGGTGGAGAAAAGGCGAAGCTTTATGCATGCTGCACCTTTGCCACGTTGGCATACATATCCGTTTAGGTTTAACGAAGAAACTTTCGGCAGCGACAAAGATGCAGCTTTACACGCGAGTGGTCCGATTTTTTTTTGGCGCATGAGTAATCATGAGTAGGTAGGCTTCCTTCTCACGGCTTGTACACCTGCACAAGCTGCCGTGAAGTGTTGTTACGCCGTTGCTCGTGATTGCAACTGTGAAAATTAAAGCAGCGAGGATATATACGATGGTGAGAGATTACCGGCCCTTTGCCGTCGTGCCGGGTACATTTATATGCGATTCATTACGAACTTAATCATTATGGTAGCTCCGTGACAACGATGACGATATTTCGAGAACAAAACATGATCATAGTATGAACGGAACAACTACTAGTGCGTGTTTTTGTGATGCGACATAGAGGTTGTATGACCTTTTTTCTTATCTTACTTTTGCTACGGTTCATGGGACAGCGAAGAACTGATACAAATCTCTATGCATCTTTTATGCGTTCGATGTCCTTCTCATAGTGCACTTGTGTTTCTTAATTCTTTATACATCTTGAGGAGTACTTGTAGCTACTCTCATCATGTGGGGCTCGTCTCTCGTACATGGTCAGATCATGTAAAATCATTCTCCTCACATTATCATGACTAAGGGAGACTCTCACACCACCTACTATACTATACGGCATGGGAGCAAGGCCTTCTGCAAAGAAATATGTTGTGCAGCAGCACAGACCATTCCTCACGACCCGAGCCATATGGAGCAAACACTCTCAATCTCTCTTGTTCGATGTGTAACCCTACTCCCTCAGTAATATAAGGGCAGCATGGCACTCTTCTTTGAGGCTAGACTAGAAACATTGGTCTTTGTGCTAAACCCTCACCTGATTTTTTAGACTCGTTCTCCCTATCTCTTTCTCCCCGGTTTTTAACTCCTACTATAAACGTCGAGCCCTTGTGCTCATGAAACACTATTAAGCAAGCTTTAGCCAATGTGCCCATAAAACACTAGTAAGCAAACTAAACTTTAAACCAAGGGATTCAAATAGGTATTTATTTTTGTATATTCCATTTCTTAGCGATTGTATCGCACTATTAAGCATGTAGTTTCTTGTTTTGGAAACTTTCCTTAACAATAGCTATTTTCCTATACTTGACACATATATGGACCATGGTGTAGTACGTTTTTAGCTTCTCGCTACTACAATTTTGTTCTAGTCTTCGCCAAATTCTAGATCTGCCACTTAGTACACCTTGTTTTTTTTCCTTAAAACTTTTAATATGAGCTGACCCAAGTGCTAAGCTAAAAGTTGTATAGTAAGAAGGTGGCATGCAAGGCGGCATTGACAATATTTAATATGGTCCTGCTTGAAACGGAGGAATGTAAAACAGAAAAAAGAAAGAAAATATAGAAATGAGAAATGAGTGTAGGTAGAAAATAGAGGTTTGAAAAACTCGGAAATTTTATAGGAATAGGTGTTTGGAACACAGGAATATAAGAACATGTTTATTCCTCCATTCTAGACTTCTAGTGAATAAGGACTTGCTCATTCCTCTATTCATTGTAGAAAAAATTTTGAAGAGCTTGAGGGTCTAATTGGGACGCACGAATCGTGTAGGAATTTCACAGAGATCATGCAAGAATTTTATAGGAAAAATATAGGAACATAATTTTTTTCAGCATTCCGTAAGAATCTGTCTACCTAGAAATCGGATGTTTTGGGCCTCCCCAACAACCGGTTGTTGAAAAGCACCAAAACAACCGGATTAGCAATCAAATAAAATCCGGTTGTTTTGGCTCCATCCAACGACCGGATTTCCTTAACCTTAGATCAAAATCTGATGGTCCAAATAATATAGACACTAATATCTAATTATCACAATTATAACAAACACTCAAACATAGATATAAATATTACACACATAATGCAAAAAAGCAAAAAAAAAATTACATCAACAAAGAAATAAATTTACATCAATGTAACACTAAAATTACAATGAACAAATCAGTGAAAATATAGAAATATAAGACTGTAAATACTGTAAGGAGAATATAAACACATGAAATTGAAGACCTGTGATCTAAATCCACCAGAAAAACAAAAAAAAAGAACAGCCTAACATTAGACACTGTGTTCGGCTGGTGCCTTGCACAGTAAATTTCGGATGGTTTTGGATGATTCAATAGTATTCTGTAAGAGAGAATAAGCTGAAACAAGCCACCACCTGACCAGCCGAACGCGGTGAGAATCTCATATGACTACAAACTGAACAAAAAAAAGACAAAGGATAGAGATAACTGCAAAATCTAAAACCAGGGTAGGCATGGGCATTTATTTGTTGGGCTTCAACATCTTGTGGAACCACTACAGGTGCATGCTGTGGCCACACCGGAGCACCGACGTCTCTCTCAGCGAATCAAACATTGAGTCTCTTGCAACAATAGCAAAGGTTCCAAATGATGAACAATCAGAGGTGTACACTTTGCAACAACAGCCAGAATCACAAAAGAAACAATGAATTGAAAAAATGATATCTTAAGGGTACTATTGCCATACTTGTATGGGCACTCAAAAGAAACTATTGCCATACTTGCAATGGCACAAGAATGAAGATTGACAACTGCATAACAACTAATACATATGTCAATGATTTAGTCTATTGACTACACGAAGAGAGCAAGCAACCACAGCAATTCACATAGACATATACCATACTCTTCAGAAAAAAATCAAATACAAAAAAGATAGAAAAATACCAGACACATATTCTAAAATTCAAAAAAGTATCAACCATACCAAGGAAATCAGAAAGACAAATGACAAAATCTTCAGAAACAAAAATTCCCAAATTTTTTCTATGGAAGCCAGATATACAAGAAGAAATATGACATATACTTCACAAACGCAAAACAAATTACTTCAAAAAAAGAGAAGGTGCCTTATACCTAAGGATGGCAACGGATCGGGTTTGGGGCGGATATCCGCGGGTTTCGGGTTCTGCGGGTTCGGGTTTGGGGATGGTTTTTCACCCACGGTTTGCGGGTTCGGGGCCCCGAAACCAATCGGGTTTGGTTTTCCACCCGTGGATATCCGAAATAAATCATTTGGAATTAAAACTCATGTTTTATAATATACTAATAATAATTTGTTTACTTAGATTATTAAATTTATTTAAAGTTGACTCATGAAAATATTTATTATTTGTTGCCTCTTGTTTATACATGTGAATATGTGTATATATATACGCGGGTTTCGGGTATCCATTCGGGTTTCGGGTATCCGTTCGGGTTTCGGGTATCCGCGGGTTTGGTTTTGGTGATAGATTTCCACCCGAATCGGTTTTCGGGGCAGATTCGGGTTTCAATTTCGGGTTTCGGTTTTGGGTGCACGGAGACTCCACCCGATCCGAACCCGACCCGTTGCCATCCTTACTTATACCCAGCTTACATGTGTGCACACACAGTGCAGTTTCGGACAGAGCCTGGGCAGGCGCCCAGGGTCACCGGGACCTAGGCCTGCCTCTGTTCTTCAGAAGTTCTACATTCAGAAAAATTTACATCCTCACATGCACAAATTTACATCTACAAAGACAAATACTTACACTAAAAAATACACTGTAAATTAAAAAAAACAAGAATGTAATTCCAAGAATTAGTCACATTGAACCTAGAAACCAGAATTGGTACATTCAATTCAAAGCTTGAATAACAAATTCAGAGAGAAACCAACTAAAAGATCAACTAAAAAATATCAGTGAACTTAATTTTACAAGAAAATCATGAACAAACAAATGCGAAAAAACAACTTTGAATCTGACAACAACAACATCCTAATAAATCTTCACTCATTTAAGCTAAACAAGAGAAGAGAGGAAATAAATATGTACCTTGGCTTACAAGAGCTTGGTTACCACTAGCTGAATAACAGCAGCTGACACCAAAAATTGTAGCAAAGTCTCAATCTGCAGGATAGATCACACATGATGTGTATGGAAACAATGCAACACCTGAAGAAAAGAAACACTCCAAGAGTTACCTATGTGTAGGCAAGTACTCCTAAACCCCCTGTAGCTACAGCGAGACCAATTGTCACATGATGTAT